TTCTTTCTTTCTTTCTTTCTTTCTTTCTTTCTTTCTTTCTTTCTTTCTTTCTTTCTTTCTTTCTTTCTTTCTTGGCTAGTCCTGGGGCTTGAACTCAGGGCCTGGGCACTGTCCTGAGCTGCTTCAGCTCAAGGCTAGTGCTCTACCACTTGAGCCACATGCACTTCTATGTATGTGGTACTGAGGGCTACATGCATGCTAGGCAAGCACTCTACCACTGTACCGCCATCCCAGCCTTTTCTCCTTTTCATACAGGCAATGTCCTATAGTGTTCAGGATCCTCCTCCTCTGTACAACCTGTCCTAAGTTCTATCTGCAGCTACCCTGTTTCTACACAAGGACACATGCTGAGTTTCCTGGAAGAACGTAAATTTGGGGAATCTTGATCATCCTAGTGTGATCCTAGGGTCTCCACTTGCCCAGTTGTTCAGGGATGCCCCTGGGCAGTAGGGAGCCGGCATGGCCCAGGTTTCATCCACTCACTGGGCCATCTCAGCTCTCCAGCACTTCAGCGAGAGCACCCTGGAGTACTTGGCCAACCTGGACCAAGCCCCGGATCCCACCGTCAGGAAGGACGTCTTTGCCACTGACATCTTCAGCGCCTATGACATCCTTTTCCACCACTGGCTGCAGAGCCGAGATGCTAAGGTACTGTGTTGGCCCTACAGAGACCTGGAGCCTGGGCTTAACCTAGTTACCCCTCTCCTTCCCTAGGCCTGGCCCAGGCAGCAAGGGCTCTTGTGGTCTCTGCGCTGCTAGGTAGTCCCGAGTTGGGGAAAGCAGGCCAAGCCATCTGCCTCTGCCTGCTGCTCTGGTGCTGTCCTCCATCTAGTGCCCTATCCATATCTGCAGCCTGCTCTAGAGCTTGTCCTGTTCCCAAGAGCATGTAGTGCCGAGGCTCAGTCATTGTGGTTCTTCTCTGGCTGCCCCTCTGCTTGGAAACTTGTGGGGCCTGGGGCAGCATTGCCTCCTTCCTGCCCCCAGCACTGTCAGCCCTTTGCTAGGCCACCCTGTAGCCAGCCTGTAGCTACTGGATCTAAGCACTTTGTATCTTAGCACCACTAGGACCCACTGGTGCCTTTGTGTTTCCTCTAAATGGAATATCTCTGGTTGTCTCCTCAGCTTCGGCTTGCAGTAGTGGCAGCTCTTGGGCCCATGAGCCACCTACTGCCCAGTGAGAAACTGGAGGAGCAGCTTCCCAAGCTCCTCCCAGGAGTCCTCAGCCTCTATAAGAAGCATGCAGAGACTTTTCAAGTATCCAAGGTATGCCCAGGGACCTGAGGACCCCCAAGTCAGGCCCATGGGGTGGCCCTGAGGTAGGACTGGGAGGGGGGGTGAGGGTTGCCCCTCTGCATTTCTCTACCTTCTGTATCCTTTGGATTCTGGAGGTCAAAGTAGAGCCTTATTTGAGCTCCCAGGTAGGAGTCTGGGCCTCCGGGGCCTCTCCTTGTGGCCGGCATGCTGTCGTTGGTCCCACAGTCACCCTGGGAGGTAGGAGCTGGACTGAAGCCCTCTCCTCCCTGTCGAGCAGAGCCTGGGCCAGATCCTGGAGGCAGCAGTGAATGTGGGCAGTCGTACCTTGGAGGTTCAGCTCGATGCCCTTCTGGCGGCTCTGCATGTTCAGGTAGCTGCATGTTTCAGGCAGGCGGGGTGGATGGATAGATCAAGTGTTGCAGAGCTGGTCCCCTCAGGAGGTTCCCTCATGAAGGGTGCGGGAAGCATGATTGGGAGGTTCAGCCATACAGGATCATGGAGTGAGCTTCCCTGAGGCGAGTGGGTAGCCCAGCAAGGTCCACATAGGTCACATGGAGCCCCGTGTGGAAGTGGAAGGATTGGATGGCCTGCTAGGCCCAGTATGGCACTAGAGGCTGACTCAAGAGGCCTCTCAGAGAGAGTTGAGCATGCTCAGCAGCATACTGCTGTGTGGCAGTAGTCCAGAGAGGTCAGGCCTTTCTGGGTCCCTGAGGGTCTGAGCCAAAGGGCTGAGGGAGAGACCTGGGGGCTGCAGTTAGGTGTATCCAGCTGAGGAGCCTGGGTTCCAGGGCTGAGGGCAGGGCCCAGGGTTTGGAAGGTTCACTGTGGGAAGCATTCTGAGGGGAGGACTGCTAGATGCCGTGTGTGGAAGGCACGTATGAGCCAGCAGTATAGCTGAGGGTCCATGGGACTTTGTGGGTGAGAGAAGAGGAGCAGGATGGTGGGCAGCACCGTGGTGGGCCCTCAAGGCTGCTTTGTGGGAAGTGGTGTGCACTCCCACCCCTGCCCGTTCCCTGCCCAGCTCCTTCATCAGTGCCACCCTGCCTTGCCACTTTTGTGGTGGTGGTGGGACTTGAACTCTGGGCCTGGGCGCTGTCCCTCAGCTCTTCAGCTTAGGCGATCACTCTACCCCTTGAGCCACAGCACCACTTCCAGTTTTCTGGTGGTTTATTGGAGACAAGAGTCTCATGGATTTTCCTGCCCAGGCTGGCTTTGAATTATGATCTTCAGATCTCAGCCTCCTGAGCAGCTAGGATTATACATATGAGCCACCAGCACCCTGCTTTCTTCCTTTCTTTTTCTTCTTCTTTAAAAAAAAAATTCTGAATGAATGGAATCAGTAAGTGTTCTGACTTCAACTGGTGGCTCTATGACTAGAAGTGCATTCTATGGTAGTATGAGACTTCCCTTTCTAATGAGGTGTCCCTTAGGGTCTGTCTTTCTGCTGATAGAAGAGAGGGAGCTTTCCATTGAGGCTTGAGGGCCTGCCATGTGTCCCTGAGGTGCCGTCCCTTCCTTTCCCTAGCTGCCCGTGGCCAGAAGCCCAGAAGCCCTTCTGCTGAGGAGCATATGTATTCTGTAGCTAGGGCCTGGGCATTCCTACTCCTAGGTGAGGAGGGGCTAGAAAGTGACCTTCCCAGAGCTCTGGGCTCAGCTCCTCAGCCCAGCACCAAGAGCGGACACATCTTTCTAGCACAAACTTTCTATAGTGAGTGCTCTCTATAAACTCTGCCTTGCTTCCTGGAACAGATTTGTGTGCCTGTGGAGTCCACTAGTCCCCTGGTGATGAGCAGCCAAAAGGAAGTTCTACGCTGCTTCACGGTACTGGGTGAGTAGCTGTGGTGGGGGAGGATCTGTGCACAATGTGGGCCTTGGAGGACATGCTGGGATCGTTTACCCTCTGTGTAGTAGGAGGTGATAGCTGTGCATGCTCGGAGGTGGGTGAAAGGGCTCTTTCATTAGGCACTGGTGCCCATTCCCTGAGCTCAAGTCCTAGGACCAGTACAGAGAGAGAAAAAAATGACTTGACCAAAAAAAGAAAAGAAAAACAAAAGGCTCTTTCTACCTCTGTCTGAGGGTTCAGGAACCACAGCCAGGGTCTGTCCTTAGCGGAAACCCTATGCACCTGTCACCACGGGCATGCCCTTGCTGGCCTTGATCCGTCCTTCCCCGCTCAGCCCCTGTCCTTCTTCCATGCCTGCTCCTTTGCACCTCTCACTCTGGCTTCTGGTCAGCACATGACTGCCTCGCCCTGGCCATCAGTGTGGCGTCCCTGACAGCTAGAGATAGTGTTGTCAGTCAGTGCCACCATGGGAGCCAGAGGTCTCAGCAGAGCACTGGTCCACCAGCCCCGTCCCTGGCCGCTGCACCTGCTCAGGGCCTGCAGGCCAGGCAGACACACAGGACCTTCTAGCTGTCTCAGGCCAGTGGCATCATCATCCCCCCAGGCCCAGGAGGGCGGGGAGACCAAGAGACTGTTCACCTGGCCCTAGGTGTGGTCAGGGGGAAAACATGTCTGACTGATTTGCAAAGGTGAAGGAACCTGACAAGGTTGTTGCTGGAAAGTCACCATTAGCAGCAGTCAGAGGTCCAGGCTAGTGGCCTGTAGTATAGTGTGGCCTGCTTTGGTCCTGTGGAGGCGAAGAGTGAGTGTGTGTGTGTGCGCGCGCGTGTGCATGTGTGCGTGCAAACGCGCATGTGTGCATGCAGTGAAGTAATTATCCAACTATAGACCAGATTGGAGCCAGTATGGACACTGAGAGACCCCTTGTGGGCTCTCCATGAGTTTGGGAAGCTAAAATGGCTCCCACATCCTTCTAGGTCCTGAGTTTGAGTCTAGGTGCACTATATATTACTGACCCACCTGTGCCAGGTCTGCCCGAGTTCCAACCCCTCATTTTAGATGAGCATCCCAAGAAGGCCTCAAGGTGTAGCTGATTGGCCAGGGAGTTACAACTTCCCACAATCCCCACAGTGAGTCTTTGCTCCTCCTTGGTGCTGGGAAACTCTAGGTACAGTATGATCAAGGCAGACAAACTTGAATACAGACATAGAGCAAGGAGCAGAGACCATTAGGAGCAGTGCCTGACATGCGTGTTGCTCTGTAGCCTGCTGCTCACCTGACCGCCTGCTGGCCTTTTTGCTGCCCAGGCTGGACACCAATAATGAGAGGCTCCGTGTGGGCACCCTACAGATCCTGAGGCACGTCATCAACTCAGCCGGTGAGTATACCTATGGGCATGCACCTACACAAGCTGTGTCCTAGGTGAGGTTGGGCCAGGAAGGTTGGATGGGTACTAGTCATCTTTTACTTGAAAAGGCACTGAGCTTTAAATTCTCCTTTTTTATTTTTGTGGTTCTGGGAATTGAACCCTTGGCTGTGTGCATGCTGGGCAAGTATTCTGCTGTTGAGCTACACCCCCAACCCTAAATTTTCTGCTATAAGGCTACTTGATGAGCCTCCTGCCTGGAAAAGGTGATCACCTGTTTCCATATGTCTTTGTGTTTCATATCCTCTTACAGGAGGGGTGTTAGGAGGTTGAGCAAGGTGGAGCCCCTTGCTGAGGCTCATCTGGCAGTAGCACTCTACCCAATAGCACTAGAAATTGAATTCTCATGATGTTGTTGTTGTTGTTGTTCATTTTTTTTTGTATACCTACTAGAGTTTGAACTCAGGATCTTGAGTCTCTCTCTGCATTTTGGCTCAAGGTTGGTGCTCTGTCACTTGAGCCACAGCTCTGGTGTTTTAGTGGTTAATTGGAGATAATTGTTACAGACTTTCCTGTCTGGACTAGCTTCAAATCACGTTCCTTACTCAGATCTCAGCCTCCTAAGTAGCTAGGATTATAGGCATGAATCACTGGTACCTGGCTCAGTTCTGAGTTTGTATTGGTTAATTTTGAGTCTTGAAGATTTTTCTGTTTGGGCTAGCTTTGAATTATCCTCAGATCTCAGCCTTCTGAGTAGCTAAGATTACCAGCATGAGCCAATGGTGCCCAGCTTGTTTTAAAATTATTTATTTTGGAATATAGCTCATGTATAGAAAAAATTTCAGCCAGGTGCTGGTGGCTCATGCCTATAATCCTAGCTACCCAAGAGGCTGAGATCTGAGGATCTCGGTTTGAGGCCAGCCCAGGTAGGAAAGTCCCAAGAGACTCTTTTTTTTTTTTTTTTTTTTGGCGGTCGTGGGGCTTGAACTCTGGGCCTGGGCGCTGTCCCTCAGCTCTTCAGCTCAAGGTGAGCGCTCTACCACTTGAGCTACAGCGCCACTTCCGGTTTTCTGGTACTTTATGGAGATAGGAGTCTCACAGTCTCTCCTGCCCGGGCTGGCTTTGAACCGCGATCCTCAGATCTCAGCCTCCTGAGTAGCTAGGATTACAGGCGTGAGCCACCAGTGCCCGGCTTCCCAAGAGACTCTTATCTCCAGTTAACTACTAGAAAACTAGATGTAGCACTGTGGCTAAGAGTGGCAGAGCGCTACCCTTGAGCGAAAAAGTGCCCAGGCCTTGAGATAAGGCCCCATGACTAACACCTCCCCCACCCCCCCAAAAAATCAAGCCTTCTCATGAAACTCCTCTTAAACTCAGAAGTTCCAAGCCACCTAATAGCAAATTGGTAGAAATTCTAGCAACAGTTCCATCTTTATTTTCTTCGTGCCTTGAGGAAAAGAAGGAATAAAATGAAAAAAAAAAAAAAAGGTTAAGTGCAAGCCAGGTGCTGGTGGCTCAGGTCTGTAATCCTAGCTACTTAGGAGGCTGAGATGTGAGGATCGAAGAGCTGAGGGACAGCTCAGAATTCAAGCCCCATGACGGACCAAAAAAAGAAAGTTAAGTGCATAGCTGCTATGATTCTTTGAGAGGAAGGAGAAAGTTCCTCCTTTCTAATTCTTTTAATACAGACTCCTTAATCCAATACCTTTAAAAACAGACACATCAGCCAGGAGCCAGTGGCTCACGCCTGTAATCCTAGCTACTCGGGAGGCTGAGATCTAAGGATCAGGGTTCAAAGCTAGCCTGGGCAGGAAAGTCTGAGAGATTCTTTTATCTCTAACTAACCACCAGAAAACCGGAAGTGGTGCTGTGGCTTAAGTGGTAGAGTGCTTGCCTTGAGCTGAAAAGCTCAGGGACAGAGCCCAGGCCCAGAGTTCAAACCCCACAACCGACCAAAAAAAAAAAAAAGACAGATATATTATTACATAATAAATATTAATAAATATACAATTGGTAGGTGTTGGTGGCTCATTCCTGTTATCCTTGCTACTCAGAAGCCTAAGATCCTGAGGATTGGTGTTCAGAACTAGTCTGGGCAGAAAAGTCTGTGAGACTCTTAGCTCCAATTTAGCAGCAAAAAGTAGGAAGTGGAGGTTTGGCTGAAGTGGTAGATGGCCAGATGAGTGAAGAAAAAAAAAAAACAAATCAAGAGTGCAAAACCTGAGTTCAAGTCCCAGTACCAGCAAAAGATAAAATAATAAGATAAACATGCAGTGATCTCTGAGGAAGGCATCCACTGTTAGCACTGCAGCTTCCAAGTTCTGCATCACGGGGGCCTTCCAAGCTTCCCACTTGGCTAGGGAGCCCAGTTATGTAGGCACCTTTAAAACACATGTGGTGGAACCAGGGTTTCAATGCTTTGCTTTTCTTTCTTTTCTATTTTTTTGGGGGTGAGGGGGAGTTCGGTCATGGGCTTGAACTCTGGGCCTGGGCGTTGTCCTTCAGTTCAAGGCTACACTCTACTACTTGAGCCACAGCACAACTTCCTGCTTTTTCTGCTTATGTGGTACTGAGGAATCAAACCCAGGGCCTCATGCATAAAAGGCAGGCACTCTACCACTGAGCCACCTTCCCAGCCCAGATTTCAATTCTTAAATGATCTCTTTACACATAATTTTGACATACATATATGACAAAACAGATTAAAATTTACATACTAGATTAGCCAAAGTTTTTTCAATGCTGGTCCTGGGGAAGAGAATAGAATAGCCCCTCTTGTCAGGTGCCAGTGGCTTACAACTGTAATACTAGCCACTCAGGAGGTTGAGATCTAAGGATTGAGGTTTGAAGGCAGTCTATATAGCATGGTCTGAGATATGCTTATCTCCAGTTAACAACAAAAAGCCAGAAGTAGAACTGTGACTGAAATGGTGTAGCACTGGCCTTGAGCAAAAGAGGCGGGCTGGGAAGGGGGCTCAGTGGTAGAGCACTTGCCTTGCATGCATGAGGCCCTGGGTTCGATTCCTCAGCACCACAGAAGCAAAAAGGAAAAAGCCAGAAGTGATACTGTGGCTCAAGTGGTAGAGCGCTAGCCTTGAGTTGAAGAGCCGAGGGACAGCGCCCAGGCCCAGAGTTCAGGCCCCACGACCGGACCCCCACCCAAAAAAAAAAAAAGATAAAAAAGATAAAAAAAAAAAAAAGACAAAAGAGGCTCAGGGACAGTGTGAAGGCCCTGAGTTCAAGCTGTAGGACTAGCAAAATAATAATAATAGGGGCTGGGAAGGTGGCTCAGTGGTAGAGTGCTTGCCTTGTATGCATGAGGCCCTGGGTTTGATTCCTCAGCACCACATAAGCAAACAAAAAAAAGCGGGAAGTGGTGCTATGACTCAAGTGGTAGAGCGCTAGCCTTGAGCTGAAGAGCTGAGGGACAGCGCCCAGGCCCAGAGTTGAGGCCCCACGACCAGACCCCCCCTAAAAAAGTAATAGTCCCTTGTAAAAGGGGGTATACCAGGAGTGGAGCTTACCTTCGGAGTCTTTCCCTTTGTAGTATGATTTTCTCATCTCGCCTATCCTGTCCCAGTGCGTCCAGTTGTTTTTATCCCTTTCTCATGAGGACTAAGCTACAAAGGGCAGGGCTGCACGTGCCTTGCTGTGCGTCTGAGCTGAGCGCTCTATAGAGGACTTGGCAGGTACTTGGCCTTCATCCGTTGGAAGAAGTAATAAATAATAAAAGGTTGCCAACTAAACATACCACATGTTAAACATCATGTGTGGCAAGATGACCATGGCTTTTTTTCTTTGGACTTTTTATGGTTATTTTGAACCTTCAGAGACACGGGGCTGGGGCAGAAGTCCTCTGGCCTTTTGCCAGAGGTACAGCTTCAGCCTGTGCTTTCATGAAGGGCCCTCCAGAGCCTGGTCCTGTGTCCCTCACGTCCTCCTTTGTGCTCTTCTGGGAGGCGCCTGCTCAAAGCTCATGCCTATTTTTCTTTTCTTTTTATTTTTTTTGGATGGGGGGTCTATCATGGGGCTTTACCTCGGGGCCCGGGTACTGTCCCTGAGCTCTTTTGCTCAAGGCTAGCTCTTTACCACTTTGAGCCTGTTGTTAACCACAACCAGGGGTTGTGGTTGCACAATGGGAGAAAAACTGAGAAAGGAGAGAGGATAGGAAAGCGGGCAGCAGTGTGTCCTGCGTTCACCAGCTTCTGAAGCCTGAGCTCCCGCTAGGAAGCTCATTTATTTAGCTCAGTACCCGGTGACTACAGGTACGTGAAGAAACCAGAGTATCAGTCTGTGGTTACGACCATTGGCATGAGGTCTGGTTTGTATGCATAGTGATAACTGACTTCCTGGCACTTAGGGATTAGAGGGGAGCAATATACTATCTTTCTTTTTTTTTTTGGGTCCGGTCGTGGGGCCTGAACTCTGGGCCTGGACGCTGTCCCTCAGCTCAAGGCTAGCGCTCTATCACTTGAGCCACAGAGCCACTTCCAGCTTTTTTCTTTTTGCTTATGTGGTGCTGAGGAATCGAACCCAGGGCCTCATGCATGCAAGGCAAGCGCTCTACCACTGAGCCACCTTCCCAGCCCCTACTTCCAGCTTTTTCTATGTATGTGGTACTGAGGAATCAAACCCATGGCTTCATGCATACTAGGCAAGCACTCTACCACTGAGCCACATTACCAGCCTGCCTATTTCATTGTTTGTTCTCCTCCTCCTCCTCCTTCTCCTCCTCCTTTTTCTGAGAATGCATTTTATATTTTATTTACATTTTAAGACCAACTTTAATCTCAAAAGTCACATATTTTTTCCAGGCTCTGTGGCTCCCATTTGTAATTCTAGCTACCTATTAGGTTGAGATCTGTGGCCTGAGATTCTAAGGCAGCTGGGTATCTCCAATTAATAAGCAAGAAAAACTGGTCTGGGGGCTGGGAATGTGGCTTAGTGGTAGAGTGCTCCCCTAGGATGCGTGAAGCCCTGGGTTTGGTTCCCTGGGTTTGATTCCTCAGTAC